CCAGAGATTAAAGGATTAAGCCTCAAGAAAGACTTGTGGTATTCTAAGAAAATGTGACTGATGCTCACCACTTATATTTTACAGTGCTGATGAGATTTAGTGTTTAAGGTCCTTTCCTGTTCAGACATAAAAGCTGCTGTAATCAGAGCATTACTAGGAAAAACTACTCTGGCTGGGGATTCAATATGTTTAAATTGTTGAGCCAAGGTTATTGTTTGGATTAGGTTAGAAAGGATGACATAGAAATAAGTAAGCTTCTGTACTGCAGCAAAACAGAGAAGAACAAAGAAAAATGTTTGTGTTTGTACATGGCATTCTGGAAACCCCAAGTATGCTAGTGATAGCTATATAAAAATAATTCAGAATAGCCTAGCAACTAGATATTGTATAGCTATGTATAAAAAGCCACTAGAAGCAGAATAAACATTTCCACCAAACTGAAACCAATATGAAAGCAGAACTGGAGGCAGTGGAGATGGAAAAAACTTATTAGGACAGCTTGCCCATCCCCCAGACCTGTTGTCCCTTGAAACCCGTGTTCTTGGTTCATGCATACCTCTTCTGTGTGTTCTGCTACACAACACTTAATGCATAAACAACTAACACCCATTAGTGTCATCCTACAAAACATGCAATAACAGGCTAAACTGACAGTAAGCCGTTCTAGGATATCTGTTAGTAAGTCCAAAGATTTTTTGCGGACTTCATATATCCAAACAGCTAGCAGCTTTTTCATAGGAAATACAAAGCTATTGATAATATTTGGTCTTCTTTACAATTTAGAGAGGCATTGGAATTGGATATTGGAGAAAATATCAGCATAAGACTCTGTTCAGATATGCAATTATGGCATTTCAAACATTGCTGGATTATTATTACTGATTAAGGAAAAAAACAACACAGCAGCTGTCTGAGGAATTCCCTCCATGTCTGGATTATTGATTTAATAGCTACACATCATCTAGATCTTACCACTCCACTCATGTCTGAAAATGAGTTTGCATTATTATTTTCTCTGTAATTGGACAAGAATTATGTATTTTATTAAAATCAGTCTGATCTGGGGGAGAGTTCAGGATTGGTTGTTATTTCCACTAAAGAACTTCACACAATAGAAATACAAAAGACCAACTCTATCTTTGAAAGTAAAAATTAAGGTATTTGGAGCTAAAAAATAAAAATAAAAATCGACTTTTCAGAAAAGAAAGTATTGAATTTCACTTACAATTGACTCAAAAACTATCCTTTTCCTTTTTACCCCTCTAGACAATTGGAGGTAGAAAAATGAAGCAGAAATGTAAAACACGAAACCTATTGTAGTGTGAAATGGGATGTAAGTGTTACAGTGGGTTAGGTTACAGTGATACACTTAAGTTGTGGTACACTTAGGAAGGCTAGATAGATAGATGGTAGACAAAAATTGCCTGCTAACTTTACACCCCTTGCCTGTCCGCGTGTGCTGCAGTCAGCCAGTCTCTGCTTTACTTCCTTATTGCTTGGTTCAGCCTGCTCAGGCTGTGGTTTTTGCTCTGTACGAGGCTCCCTGTACATGCCCTGCTTGTGAAGCATGCAGATAAGAGGCATGGTGCGAACGGCAGCTTATGTCACGTGCACAAGATATGGCAGTGTTGTGGGGTACAGTGCTGCAAGAGGCAGCCCCAGGAATACAGAGCTTCTTTGAGAGCGGATTGCTTTGGATTCACTTGCCTAAAAACGTGGGTGTTGACTGAGAAAAGTAACAGTATTCAGAACTGAGAATGTAAACATAGTACAGTAAACACTCTATTCATGAGTGCTTACCCAGAGCAGGGTAATCTAAGCAGTACAGACTGTCCTGGTCAAAGAAACTTGCATACATATGAGAATGATACAGTTTGTGTTTTACTGCCTCAGTAAAGCATCCCTCTTTCCTAGTATGGAGGGTGCAGCAGACAGCAGTGAGTCCTGTAAAAGCCATTTCCTTCTAGAGTTGGAGTCAACAGAGGTGGCATTTTACTACAGGCCTCTCATATATGAATTGAATTGAATTTAGTTCTACCACATTAGCAAGCAAAACAATACATAAAACCCTTAATGTGATTATTGGCCTAAAAATGGTGAGACTTGTGCACATATGTGATGTTACTTATGCTATTTATTTGTTCAGCATGGGCCTAAAAAAGCAACAACAAAACCAAACCAACTTGAGTAGCTGCATCAGTTGCTGGCTCTCTAACCTGCATTTACAATGATTTTTGTGGAAGAGTATCTTGTCCTAAAATACTATTGTGAATATGTTGCCCTAAAATACTAGTCTGCCTGTTTCTGACAAGTAATGAGCACATGCATGGAAATAATGTGTCTTCCCACAGTGTTAGCTGTTGACAGTATTCAGGTTCCTGCAAAACGTCACAACTTTCAGGAGAGGTGTGGAAAAGTCTACGTAATGAATAATGAAGACACTAAGCCAATAAGAATATACTATGAACAAAAAATGTATCTAAAATGTTGAAGAGAAAAGCTCAATATATAAATCCAGGTATATATATAAAGTTAGGTTTTCATATTTTTATTGGAGGAGGGAAGGAAGATTACGAAATTAGTGCCTGCAGAAGGGGGCCAGAGGTAACAATTAAATAATGCCTGTTCTTTGTTCTAATAAAAAATAAACACTGTATATTGATCCTCAGCTGTCTTCTGCAATAAACTATTCTAACACAATAGCTATTCACAGCCTTCTGTTCTAAACCACTCCTACCAGCTATACTTACTCAGCTCTGTTATTCTATGATCTACCTGCTCCTTTGCTGAAAGATCAACAACACAGCGACCGCTTAACTTGTAATGCATGCTTTTTTGTTAGAGCCATGTAATTCTGAGACCTACTGAAACCTTCTAAAATAAATATGAAATACTTAAAAACCACAGAATGAAGACGTGCTACCTTTAATGATGGAGAGATACTAGCAATAGGTCCCAGCAACAGCTCAAAATGATGGCAGGTATTGATCCATTCAAAATTGTCATTTTGTTTCAAAATGACAAAAACATTTTGTTATCACAATCACAATGCTTAAGTTAACTTTCTGAAAATAAATGAATGGAAACTGGAAATCTATGAACAAAAAATGCTAGATAAATCTCAGACCGTACCAATGCTAGGTTTTCAAGTGCTTTTTTGCAGATAAACATGATAAATTTTTCAAGCTCTGTATGTATCTTGCTATTGGCTGTCCTCTTTGATATAAGCCTATTCTCTACCCAGTTACCAGCTAAGTATTATAGAATTAACCACGACTGTTAAGGTCACATGAAATCAACATAAAAGTGATAAAACATGAAGGGATCAAGAACATAACACAATCTCTTATTTCTGTTTCCTAAGTCTCTGGAGAAATACTTTAAAAGTTCACTTCATAAATACTTATCTAAACATTCTAATCTTTTCATATTATTTCAAATAAAGGTAGTTGAATTTTAAATCCAGTACTGATTGGATTTAAATATTTCAATAAATCATATTAAATAAATCATGTTGTGAATCATAGAAAAATGTGCAAATCTGCAATCCTAGTATACGTTTATGTTATCATTCCCATAGGCTTTACACAAAGAGAATGTTTTGCTGCAGTGCTAACATATTTAATCATTTATGATATAACAAATTACCCCTCTTTTGTTTATTAACAGTTAGCTAAAAGCTGGCTAGAAAACTACTGACTCTAATCTCTTTAATTTCAACCAGTGATTTTGTTGCCTGAGTATCTTGCTACTGGAGATCCTCTAGCTGATATTTTTGGCATTTTTAGCCTGCCACAATTGTACAGCTTTATCGAATGAGAGCTTCAAAACCAGCAGCTATATTTCTAAATTATTCCAGTCTGGAAAAAAAGAAAAAAATACTCTACTTTGAGGGGAAAAAAAAAAAAAGCATTAATTGCTTTTGGAATGAGCATGTCTGTCTTTATAGCTTTCATCCTACTACCCTTGTTGTCATTTTCTAGCTCCTCTGTTTCTCTTAAATTCCTCCAATATCTCACTATAGAGGGTTAATCTTAATTTGTAGAGATTATGATGTTGATTCCAAGAGAGATTAAACAACTTACTACTTAACAAAATCTATCCTTCCCTCTGTGGAGGTCTGGTTTTTACAGTTGCTATCTCTCTTCCTTGTTTCTCCCAATCAAAAGCTTAACTCTGTGAGTTAAGCATGTCATTTTTTAAAAGGCCACCACTAACCTATTGCTATTCTTATCAGTCAAAAAAATAACTGTAATGGATTGACTTCTTAGCTGATTATTTTTTCCCCGAAGCTCTGTAACTTTTTTTCAAAGGCTCAACTTATTCTCCCATATCAATACCAATGTTACCCTCAAGGACTTTCATTTTCTATATTGTTAACCATTTCTGTTTTGTTTTGTTTGTTTTTTGCCTTCTGCTAATCACATTTGTCCTGTCTTTCATTTCATTCCCATTTATCCCATTACACTTCATGTCTCAGAACTCTGTTATCTTCTCCATGCACTTCTGTTTTTTCAACTAATACTTCCACAGAAAGCCTTCAGCTATGCACAGAGCCTCTATGTTCAGTCAAGCAAGCCTTTATGAATTCCCCCTTGCAAATTTCTTCATTGAAATCACAGTCTATATAATTCAATGTATAGAGCTGTATTACTGTCGCTATATAGATATCCAGATATACGTATAATAGAAGAATCACCAAGGTTGGAAAAGACCTAGAAGACCATCCCATCCAACCATTCACCTATCACCAATAGTTCTCACTAAACAACGTCCCTCAACACAATGTCTAAACATTCCTTAAACACCTCCAGGTAGGTGACTCCACCACTGGCCTGCGCAGCCCATTCCAGCACCTGACCACGCTTTCAGAGAAGCAGTACTCTCTAACATCCAACCAGAATCTCCCCTGGTGCATATGTGGCTGTATGTATGTTTGTGTGCAAAGACAGACATAAATGCTGATGAACTGACCCTGTTAAGGCCATCTGGATCCGTACCTCTGACCCTGGAACTCAGTGCTGCTCAGTATGGTGCTTTTCTGATTCTTCCTCAGAGCTGCAGCGTATGGATCAGTGCAGGACTGAGGGGCTGCCAGTGAGGGAATCAACCATCGTACAGAGGGGCGTCATCATCTAGAAACATGTGAGAGGAAATATCACTGAATGAGCAGATGAGGGGGAGAGCCACGTGTGAAAAAGGGAATGAAGCAGTGGGAGACAGGGAGAAATGCAACGAAATGAAACAATGTGGAGGTGAAAAACAAGAAGACAAGGCTAAAGAGACCATAAAGCACACAGATGAGAGAGCAAAAGAACAATCCGTGGGGTAGGACTGAAACAACTGCCACCACGGAACAATGACAGAACTACAGGCAAAGCCAAAAGGCTCGAAGGGAAGAGAAGTAATAAAGATTTAGTAGAATGTCGTGTATAATGGCACCTCAGACCGCATCCCTTCTCTCTTGCCCCAATGGCCGGCAGCCCAGTGACATACTGGGGCCTCTGGTCAGGGCTGGGGGCTCTGCCAGAGGGCTTCCACACGGTGCGCGAGAGGGGACGTGTGGCCAATCGCTGCACTTTCTCCACTTGGCAGCAAGGTCTGAAATGTGGCCGCCGCTCGAAACCCAGCGGCGCCAGGAGAGGCTTGCCAACGGCTACGGAAAGCGGCGGGGAGAAAAGAAAGCCGTGCCTCGGCCCACAGCGGAGAAGAGGACGGGAGACGAGCGGGGACGGCCAGTTGCCGTGGAGAAGGCAACGCCGCGCGGCAGCCTGCGCGCGAATAAAATGGCGGCGGGCGGCAGCGGCCCGTCGCGGGTAAGGCGGCGGTTTGGGCGCGGGGCGACGAGCGGGGAGGCGGGAAGCGGCGCGGTGCAGTGCAGAGGGTGCGGGCCGCACGCTGAGTCGCCCTCGTTGCAGGTGTGCAGAGCGCCGGGCGGCCTCTCGGAGCCCGCCGGGAGCGGCGCGGTGAGCGGCGATCTGCTGGCGCGGGAGGAGCACTACAAGTAAGTGGCGGCCTAGGGGCGGCGGCATCCCCTGCTCGCATCCCCTGCTCGCATCCCCTGCTCGCAGCCCCTGCTCGCAGCCCCTGCTCGCAGCCCCTGCTCGCATCCCCTGCTCGCATCCCCTGCTCGCATCCCCTGCT